TGTTGTTGTTGTTGTTGTTGTTGTTGGTGTTGGTGTTGGTGTTGGTGTTGGTGTTGGTGTTGGTGTTGGTGTTGGTGTTGGTGTTGGTGTTGGTGTTGGTGTTGTTGCTGTTGTTGGTGTTGGTGTTGGTGTTGTTGTTGTGGTTGGTGTGGTTGTTGTGGTTGTTGTTGTTGTTGTTGTTGTTGTTGTTGTTGTTGGTGTTGGTGTTGGTGTTGGTGTTGGTGTTGGTGTTGGTGTTGTTGTTGTTGTTGTTGCTGTTGCTGTTGTTGGTGTTGGTGTTGGTGTTGGTGTTGGTGTTGGTGTTGGTGTTGGTGTTGGTGTTGGTGTTGGTGTTGGTGTTGGTGTTGGTGTTGGTGTTGGTGTTGGTGTTGGTGTTGGTGTTGGTGTTGGTGTTGGTGTTGGTATTGGTGTTGGTGTTGTTGGAGTGGTTGGTGTGGTTGGTGTGTTTGTTGTGGTTGGTGTGGTTGGTGTGGTTGGTGTGGTTGGCGTGGTTGGTGTGGTTGGCGTTGTTGCTGTTGTTGGCGTTGTTGGCGTTGTTGGCGTTGTTGGCGTTGTTGGCGTTGTTGGCGTTGTTGGCGTCGTTGGCGTGGTTGGTGTTGTTGGTGTTGTTGGTGTTGTTGGTGTTGTTGGTGTTGTTGGTGTTGTTGGTGTTGTTGGTGTTGTTGGTGTTGTTGGTGTTGTTGGTGTTGTTGGTGTTGTTGGTGTTGTTGGTGGTGTTGGTGTTGTTGGTGTTGTTGTTGTTGTTGGTGTTGTTGGTGTTGTTGGTGTTGTTGGTGTTGTTGGTGTTGTTGGTGTTGTTGGTGTTGTTGGTGTTGGTGTTGTTGTTGGTGTTGGTGTTGGTGTTGTTGTTGTTGTTGTTGGTGGTGGTGGTGTTGTTGTTGTTGGTTGTGGTTGTGGTTGTGGTTGTTGTTGTTGTTGTTGCTGTTGTTGCTGTTGTTGTTGTGTTTTTTTTACAGGACGCCAAAAGAAAGACACAGTTTCTCTTCCAGTTTTTCAAAAGCTTTTTTTAGAGGACGCCAAAAGGAAGACACAATTTCTTTTTGGGGGGCCCCCGCAAAACGAGACTGGGGGACTGTGCTAGTGCACTTGTGTTTGTGAGTTTGTGGTTTTGTATCTTGAGCAAGTTGTACGATTGCTTTGCTGAAGAGTGTTTGTAACTGCGACTTCTGAATCAGTCAAAGGGGTCCTCTACTTTCGATGTTTGTAACCTGCTAATTGCTGCTGCTCATTCAGGGCAGAGTAGCAGCACGTCTCTTAGCATTTTTATCCTCCCTCTTTGGCATTAGAGTTCAATCAGAATTCAGACAGATTCCAGTATGGAAAGACAAGCTTGTTGTTCCTACGAATTTGCCTGCCCCTCAAAAGGACTGAACAACAAGTAGAAAAGAAAGGAACATGCAATGTCAGTTCTAGTGGTCTACAAGCTTTCGATTGCCGCGCTTTAAGCTTAAATCATGTCTGAAATAGAATTCAATGTAAACTATCATACATTTTGAAGTAGAATTAACACACTTTAATTGGGATTCAAATAGAATCTAATAAGGAGAAACAAGCTTGTTGTTTCTTCAAATGTTCAAGCCCCTGAAAAGAAGTGACAAACCAGTAAAAGCCCATGGAACATGTAAACTATATCTCAATTGGTTTTAAATTGCAAGGCTTTAAGTTGAAATGGGAGTTCACTTCAATTTGTAAGTTTGATGTTGATTCTATGTAGTACTTTCCTTCCAAGTAGGATTTCAATCAGAATTCCTTTCCAAAACTAAAGTTGAATTTGACATTTAGAATCTAGTAAGGAAAGACAAGCTGGTTGTTTCTTCTTTAAACAAAGCCTGTTTGTTGAGTCACACTCAAACTAGGAGTTCATTTCCAAGTATCTAGGATTTCGATTAGAATTTGAATATAATGTAAATGTAATTTAGTAAGGATAGACAAGATGGTTGTTTCTTCCACTTAGTTTGAATAGACTTCTTATACTTAGTTTGATGTTTAAGAGGAATAAATCAGAGTTCTTATTGGTGATTCCCTTTGCATACACAAGAAAAAAGGAAATCATCAAAGAAACTCCCCGGTGTGCCCGCCCCCCCCTCCACAGAAATTCCCTGGTTTCGTCTATACAGATTTCCCACAGAACCCCCCGCTCCTACCATACTATTTAGTGTGTGCCATACTATTTAGTGTGTGGGGCCGCTTTGCTTGACGTGTTCCTTTTCGTGAGGCATATGTGGCTGCAATAACCTTGTTTCCCTTCCCGCTTGAAAATAAGAGAGTCCCCCTCGTTTTGGCCGCTATCTCTACACGCTGCTGCCTTTCAAACCCACCCCAGACCCCCAGACCCTTTTTTGCGCGCAGAACAACTCCACTCCGAGCTTGCGCAGAAGCGTTAGAGCCATCAGATCCTGAACACCATGATGTCATGGATTGGTCCTTTGAAAGGTACGGCTTAGTGCTTCCTTTAAGAACACACTGTCAAGCAAAAAAATGTTTGCTTCGGACTCGGCCCCCGCCGTTGAGGTGCTGCCTGCTCTCACTTCCTTGGTGGAGCCGTTGCCGGGGGCTTTTTCTTGTCCGAGGCACGGCTGGGAGGGCGGACGGGCCCAACAGCACTGGAGGGGGCGACGCGTTTGAGACATACAAAACGGTTTGGACCTTGTTCAGGTCAACCTAGGAAGTGAGGATACCACGGGACCGCTCCCACCCTGTAAGTGGCAAAGTTGGCAAAGTCGTAGGGATGACCCCTCTGCAGCGTCGCAGGACCGGATGTTTGCCATTGCTAGAACAGGGAGGACGCATTTAGAAAGGGGTGGGCTGGTCACGAGGCAACACGTGCAATTATTGGAGTCAGCACAGCCAGCTGAAGCAAACACACACACACACACACACACGCAGAGAGAGAGAGAGAGAGAGAGAGAGACCGTTGGCAGGAGTGCATCCGCGGGCCACTTAAGGCAGAGGTCTGCAAGGTTCAACCCGCAGACTAGAAGAAGGCCGAGCGGGTGTCTCGCAACAGGCCGTAGAAGTCGAAATCTCAAGTCAGGGCTATAACAGGTGGCGACTCCAAGCTAACCAACGTCGTTAGAAAGCCGCCAAGCGAGCAACCTGTTCACGTAGAGCGAAAAGGTTCATCAGTGCTGGCAAAAACAGGCTAAGCCCTTGCAGGTACGTCTGTGAGCGCACCCACTGATGTCAGTGTCTCACGCAAGCCTTTGCGTTGGACTGGGGCATGTGTGGGCAACCAGCCCCTCTGCTTGCAAAACTGCCAAGGCAGCCCCTTCCCGGTTGTCAGGGGTTACACACACTCCCGTGCGGGGGGCTTAAGAAAAAATATGCCTGCCTGCTGCTTTCTGCGTGATGACGCATCGGTCCCGCAAGAAGACCTGCTGCTGCGCTACTCAGTAAAGGATTATCGCATTTGACGCCATAGGCAGCGAAAAATGCCGAAGATCTTCAGCCCAAGGATCGCCGCAGAACCCGCAACCAAAAATCCCACCACGCAGGGCGCGGAGCAAGCACAATAGCCAGTTTTCACAACGTAGGGGAGGTCACTCCGGAGCAGATTCGCCGCGAGAATGGCGGGCTAAGGAAGAGCAGGTTGCCGCGCAACAGCGCCAGCTGTGTAGAAGAGCAAGTAGTCACCCAGCTGGAAGCGCAGCGTGTAGATCACGAGGCAGAAAGGGTAGCGGCCCCTTGCCCTAGACAAGGCCACTCCAAGAGTCGCGGGCAAGCGCAGCAAGTAGACCAAGGGGCACGCGGCAGGAAATAACGCCCTAGTTCACGACGTGGTGTCGAAGCAGGAAGCCATCCGAGCAGCATGCGACGGTGGTGTTGTCATGAGTGGGTCAAAAGGGCGGCTACCGTAAAGCGCTTGACGTTTGGAGTTCCTGAACTGCTCGCTGTAGCGGGCTGTGTTGGCCTGCGATTGGGAAGAGGTGGAGGCGCGAAGGGGAGAGGTGTCGTAGTAGACGACGAGGCATTGGGCGCTGGAGAGGTAGAACGTGCCAGAGACCATTCTGCAGGACCCATTGATACACACATTTTGCTCCAGCATTCGTGACATAAGTGCGCAAGTACTGGTACATGCAAACACATGCAAAAACACGGATTGCGGGGCAGAGCTTTGGCTTTGCACACTTTTTGGAAATGCGCCCGAGTTGCGGAAAATTGTGCTACTTTTTGCCGCAAAACCAGAAACCCATAAAACTCCGGAAAACACACTATGGCAATGCTCGTGGCCTTTGACCGATTGAAGGAGGCTTTGCAGGGCTAAATGGCTTAATGCAGTCCGCAAGTTTGTCAACACATGCAACGGCGGTCCAAAGTTGTGCGGTGCAGAAAAAGCGTACTCATTTTGACCGCAAAACACCCGCAAAATGTCCGCAAGCATCCCGCAAAAAAGCAGCACACTCCCGCAAATCCGAAAAAACATAGTTTAAGTTTGATGATGATCATGATGATCAAGGCATCCCACGGAGTTCACAGTTCACTGGCACATTGGCGAGTGCTGCGAGGTGTATTTACTTTGTATGGCCAATGCGCGACTGGAAACGACGCAATTCGGGCTCAGGTGTGGTTGCCGTTGCCGTCCAACGAACCTTGAAACCATCAATTGAGGGGGCGACGAGGCGCAGGCAGAAGTTGTCAGGGCTAATTGTTTAATTTGAGGAGAAGTCCCACACACACATATATGTTTGCAGGCTCCTCGTGTTTTAATATGCATGTTGTGTTTTGCTGAAATGTCCAACAATATTGAGGCCCGCTTTCCCTTGCATCTTTATCAGCAAGGTTGCAATTGGCAATTTGACACTTTAACCTGGGTGTGCTTGGAAGGCTATCAGCAGAGCGTCATGGCAGTGCAAGGCACGCCGCGTTGGTTTGCTTGCAAAACGCTACCAAGATGCTGCTAGTGAAGCGCAGCCCTGGTTCACGAATCCCAGCTTTTGTGAAGATGTTGCTACAATGGCCACGAGAGAACATAAATGCTCGGAAGCGGTTCGTGTCAAAGCCCTATTCGAGTATTTGGGGGGGGGGGGGGGGTTCGTGGTTGTTTGCTAGATGCATGACTTTCTATACATTGCACCATGACAAGTCAAATGGTGTTCATTCTATTTAGGAACGTAAGCTCGAGGAGGCACAAGTACTGCATTCCTCTTGGAGGTGAGCCAAGATTGCCTCAGTCGCTTTTTGGTCTATCCAAACGGGGCCTGCTTTGCACGTTTGGTTGCTGTTTGTCACCCAACAATCGGAGCCACGGCGCCCAACTGAGCTAACACGACAGCAAGAAACCACATGTTGGCGCTCGGGGGAGTTTTCAACACAGCATTTGCAGAGTCAAGAAAGCGGTGTAGACGGGCACCGTCATTTTTGGCGTCACGATGTTTTTTTCAGTTCCCGCTTTCGTTGACAAGTCCTCCAAGAGCAAACCTGTCCGCGGAAATTCAGAACTCTTTGCGGGGATGTTGAGCTTGCTATGCTAGCTGCCGCTTCAGAGCAAAAGTTAAGGCAGCCAGACAAATGCAAGCAGGTTTTGATCGAGGCTTTGCCCTGACATCCCAAATGCTAGATGCTTGGGACACTTGAGTCTCAACCAACACTCAGTTGTTCAAAGCCGACCTTTTGACCTTTTGGATTTCTTATTTTGGTCCATATCTAGTCATGGCCCCAAAAGGTGATCACCTTTCAGTTCCAGGTCCCTAAGAGGCAACTGAGAACAGCTGGCAAGTCCTGGGGTCCTGTGTCCAGCTGTGCCAGTCCCAAAGCGTGCTGCGTCAGGCTGAGCAACAGCACCGTGCACGCGTTTTTTTTGGCCGACACCCCCTTTCTTTCCTTGAAATCAGACCCAGAGCTTCAGTGTTGATAAGCAAGATGGGTAGGTCCAACCTTCCGGTTGCATCTAAGGCACGCGATTGATTTGCACGTTTTCCTGGACACTGTCATTGTGTACTTCAACCAATACACTCCGGGGCTTTTGCCGTCTCGTTGAAGCAAGGATGCTGGTATTTTTCGCCGAATCGCAAGCGTTGGTGCTTGGTGGTGTCTCTTGCGACTGGGTCCAGATTTCTGTACACCTTGGTTCTATGCTGGATTTCTGGTACCTAGGTGAGCTTTCTTTGGCGTCCTGCCAGGAGATCGACGATACGGGGTTCCGCGCATTTTTTAGATGTGGACAGGCTGGAGCGCCGCTGAGGTTATTCGTACCATCGGTTTTTTGACAACATGCATGGTCAGGCTGTCGTGTTGGTGGTCATAGAGGGTGTCAGTAAGAAAGAATTGGCTGAGAAATTGCGAGGCAGAACCTCTCACGTGTTGCGACGCATTCATGCTGGGACTGAGAGGTCCTCGGTAAGCAATCGAAAACCGTTCCAGAGGGAGGCCTATGAGCAGTTTGCTCACTTTGCTACGTCCAGGAGCTACAGATGCATTCCATATCCGATGGCATTCATTGGGGGTTCAATCAGGATGGGAAGGCCAACAGCCAGTTTTCAGCAGTCATAGCTGAGGCTATGTGTCTACATAGGGGGACCCCCGCAAAAGTATTGTGTTTAGGTAAGAATATGCCTTGTGGCTTCTTTTCAAAGCCAGACAAATCGGTTCCGGAGCCCACAAAAACCTCACCAGAAGCATAGCCCAATGTTTGGATGAGCCAAGCAGAACCCGCCTGAGGCGACCGGCTTCATGGGAGATTCCGTGGACACCATGACCGCGGCCATTGGTGCAGGGCAGCCCGGTTTTCTTGTTGTCAAAGCCCCGATTTTTCAGGTTTCGCTTAGTGGTTAGGATTGGATGTGGGGTTTTCTGAACCCCAGATTTTGAAAACTGGGGAAGGTACCCCCCAACATCCAAGCAACACCAACCCACCAAGTTGTTTTTATTATTATTGTTTTTCCGGGCCAATCTCACACTTGCCCAAGGCGAATCGACCGGATCTGACCTTTCAGTTTCCCCTTGGTTCATTTTGAGTGGCCCAAACGGTTAACCTGTTAACTTTTTTTGGGAGTCCTGTGGGCAACTGAGCAAAAGCCATGGAGACGTCTTGCTCTCCCACTGTCAATCGGTCGGTCGGTCAGCCAGTCAGCCAGCCAGCCAGCCCATCAGTCGGTCAGTTAGTCAGTCAGTCAGAAACTGTGACGGCCTGTGGGCCAGCCAGATACAAAACAAAGAGTAAGTGCACAGTCTTCGAAAAAGCCCCCTTTTGCACTTGCATGATTCAAAAGAGCGTTACTCAACAGCATGACATGTTATTTTATGCTGAGAAGCCGTACCGGTGACTCCTTGTCAGGGAGCTGGTTGATGAAGGAATCCGCTGTAAAACCAGAGACCACTGCAAAACCAAGATCTTTGTGTGAAGAGTTGGGCAAGATTCTACACTCGGTATCGCCTCCTTGGCGCACAGACATGCGCATGCCTAGCCCGCATTTGTGCCTTTTTTGTTTTTGCGAGCACGATATTCCAAAAATATCGAGTCCTTGTGGTAGGACACAATGATCGCATTCATGATGCACTGCTCAAGCATGCACAACATGTGGGGCATGGCATTGAACGTCCCCCACGGAGTACAGCGGGACGTGCTTTTCCCACACTTTTTGGTGTGACCTCTGCATCATTGGCCCAGCCAGTGGCCTTTGTCTCGCGAACCAAGGGCGCATTGCGAGATTGTGCCTTCGGCGATACGAAGCGAAAGAGTAATTGGCTGAGCTACAGCCGTCGTTTCTTCTTGCCATGACACGCCAAACGCCATAGACTCCAATTGCCGTATATTTGGTGCAGGATGGATGCACCCTTTGTTGCAGGGTGTTGCTTGAAAGCAATGCTCATCCACATTACTTGAGGCACAAACCGGTTCGGGATCTTGTATTCTCACCTGCGACAACGCTTCTCTGGGGTTGTTCTAGAGACAGTCATGAACCATAGCACAAGTAATGTCGGCAAAGCCTGCAGTTCGGGCCTCGGACGGAGGATTGGCCGTTGTTTGCACCACAAGTTCAAGCCATACAGTTGCGAAGCTGATGGGCTGTCGCTGCGGCAGGCTGTGTCATCATTTCACTCGCTTTCAAGGACGAAGGAACAGTACAGTGACCTGAACCCCATTTCCAATTCAGCACTGGCGATGGCGTGATCTCCAATCTTGCTGGATGGGCCCGAAGCGACCCATAGATTCTTTAGACAAGAGTTGCTCACATGCTGATGAGAATGAAGCTGGCGGCGCGTTTTGATGTGCTGTTGTTGAGCCACAGATCTCTGATGCCAGTGGTTTCTGCATTGTATCCATTTGTCAAAGGGCTACCTGTCTGTCAGCATACCCGAGCAACCATGATCCGTAGCCAGTTGAG